GTTATCAGCAAATTTTTGCAGCCGATTTCGAGAATAATTGAATAGCTAACCAAGATCCCAGCCGTTGTGGACTTGTGCCTATGGATTTTTATCTTTCTTCTTCTTCTTATCACGCCCTCTCCTGCCGAAGGTTGACGATCCAAATGGCAATTGTGGCTCTGGAAACTGCAGCCAGGAAGATTTCCGCAGACGAGCGTTCAAACCATCTCCTTAAATCTTTTAGCCATGAGTTCTGGCGTCTTCCTACTGATCTTTTCTCTTGCACTTTTTCCTCTATTATGAGGCGCAGTATTTCGTATCTACCACCTCTCATCACATGACCCAGGTATTGCATTTTTCTTTCCTTGACGGTGTTCAATATCTCTTTTTGTTTCTGCATGCGCTGGAGTACTTCATCGTTGGTGATCCTTCGTACCCATGAGATTCACAGCATCCATCTGTACACATACATTTCGAAGGCTTCTATTCTCTTTTCAGTCTGTGAATCCAGTGTTCAGCTCTCACATCCATAGAGCAACATAGAGAAGACGTAGTATTTTTATCTTTGCGGAATGGGATGAATGATTTTTTTAATGATTTTTAAATTTCCCGTATATTCTAGACAAGAATAGAAGTACTTAACGGTTATGCGAGGGTATCTTTCACCCTCATTGAGTTAATGAATTCCGCGAGAAATATTCAAAAACGGTCCCGTCTGTCCATAACAGAAGACGATATGTCGATTTATTATATTTTAATTGCTGCTCACAGCTAGAATATTTTTGCATCACAGCTGGCGACGTTCAAAGCCTACTTATTCAAAGTGGGCGAATTTTTATAAACTCTATATCTCGAAGAGGAATCGAGCAAAATATTAAGTGTGCTATATTATTGGAAAGGTAATTTTAAACTTTTCAATGAATTAAAAATATACAGGGTGTCCCATATAAAAATCAATTTTTCTGTTAATAACTCTTAAATTATTAATTTAAAAAAAAATATACTTAAACCATTAAATTCTAGGTAAAAAGACACTTTGGAAATATTTTCATAAAGATAAAAAATTTTACATAGCAAAAAAGTTACAGCGATTTGTTAAAAATGCAAATAATCTCCTATAGAAAAGGGTGTTTCTCTTTAAAAACGTCTTAATTTTTTTTACAATTCTAGAGAAATCAGTAAAAGTTGGAGTGCAAGTCATCAAAGACGTCGAAAGTACTACCAAGGGCGCACTTTTTCCTTTTCCATATATTGTTATACCTACTGTTACACTGGTTAAAAAAAGACGACATGTTGACGCATCAAGTAAACGAATTGGTCGATAAAAAGGCTAGATGTTGGTAGTCATGGCAAATGTTGCCTGTTGTCACGAGATTTTTTTTTGCAAATCCGACATTTGTCATTTTCAATTTTATTTCGAGTCTTCTTTGACGATTTTGAAATTAAATGTGCGATTTTCATAGCAATAAAATGCCAAAACCACTGAAAAGTTGGAATCAGTAACTTATCTCGTTTCTACTCAATTATTTTAAACAGGAAATAGATCTAGCTAGCCATTTTTGGCGTTAAAAAGCGTTAGAGAGGTAAAAATTGATATATTGTTGCTATAATTTTTGCGGCTTTTGTTGAAAATACATAGATCTTTTTTGTGATTTTGAGAATTGTGAGTAGAATCTCACAAAAAGTGAAGATTACTGTTCACCAATTAGAACTTCATTTATTAAAACTAAAAGAGTGTCGGACTTCCATTGTCTTTATTTATTTTTGCTTACACAACGTTTCGGTCAGAAGTATCACTGACCGTTATCAAGTGTGAACTGGTTTCGAAGAACTTTATTTAATTAGAATTTGTTTGTGTAATACTCATAGACAAAGTAATAATGTAGACATAAGGAAATATTTGTATGTATATGTATTGTATCTAAAATTGAAGTGAAAAATCGGTGACAAAGTTACGAATTTTAAGTCAGAGGAGAAAAGAAACCGTGGCAACATTGCGACGTGCTTTAGTCAACTATTTTGATGACGTGCATGCCAAATTCTATTGATTTTCTTATATGCATACGTCATACAACGCACTAAAATAAACATAACCTCTTAAAAAATACCCTGTAATAGCCGCCCCCAGTTATAGGAAACGGAGCCAAATTTATCAATCCACTAACAGTGTAAATATAACTCGATTTGAACAGGGATGGGGGTTAGTGGGAGGTTAGGTAGTTTAATCCGGTCGTATTAAATTTCATTTGAGCTCCGGACGCAGCTGGATATGCCATCCAGTCATTATTCTCGATATTATTATTATTTGCGTTTGGTCTGGCCAAAAGCTTTGGATTGGAGCGGTTACCCGTTGCGATCTACGGGTTTATGAGATCGCTAGTAAAGTACGTTTACGTGTTTGTAATTGACATTACGTAAAATAACAGATTGCTGTCAGTGAATATATTGAGTTATGGAGTGTAGAGATGAGGAGAAATATCTCTTATGGGACTTTATTTGAAAAAGTGGCCACAAAAATGGGAAGAATGACCACAGTGGTGCTAATGACGCATAAGCCTGGGTTTACATGCATCCGTAATGCGTCGTCCGTCGTTGATTTTATGCAATTTTATTGGTTTATTTGAAAAATGGCAAATCACACATAAGTGGTATAAACCGGGTGCCTCTCGAAAGTAGCTTACCCCTATAACTTTTTTAATTTTTTAGATAAAAAAACGAGATTTGGTGTGTTAGTATATGAAATACATTAGGATTGATTGACGTATTCAATTGTTGTGGGTTACTTCCTGTTTCACCGGAAATTTCTACAATTTTTGATTTTTAAACGGCACCCTCGGTATATTTTTACTTTATCCGATAAAAATGACACTCTGAGTAGAATGACATATCATATGTCAACTTTTAAAATTCTCAGTTAAAAAAAATGTGTTTTAAATTTCAGTCTAGAGTGCCATGGTTGTGTTAAAACACTAATTTTTAATCAAGGAGCCTTGGAAAAATAAATTTGATCGTCTAATGTTTTTCGTGCCTTGTCTTGGTTAAAAGATGCCCAAATAGTATTTTTAATTATATCTAATTTTTTCAAATGGAACAAGGGAAGCTCATTAGCATATTTGGAAAAAACATTTTTTACGAATAATTTGGTACCACGCACTTGGTATTTCGAGTCAAATTATTGTTATAAACCGCATGTAACAAGTTACAATTTCAAATAAACCATAATCTAAAATGTCAAGTTGACATATAAGATATGTCATTCTACTCGAGTGTCATTTTTATCCCATAAAGTAAAAATATAACGAGGGTGCCATTTAAAAATCAAAATTTGTAGTCATTTCCGGTGAAACAGGAAGTGACCAAAAACAATTGAATACGTCAATTAATCCTAAATTATGTCATATACTAACATACAAAATCTCGTTTTCTTATCTCAAAAAATAAAAAAGTTATAGGGGTGAGCCACTTTTGAGACGCACCCGGTATGTGATTGGAGTGACGGAACGACGGACGACGCATTACGGATGCATATAAACTCACCTTAAATCTAAAAAATGAAAAGTAGCCATAGATAAGAGAATAAAAGTAGCATAACCAAACATTACCCCAAAAAGCTTTGTTTTTATTTTTTAGAATATAAAACAATTATTTTTATATAATATTAGAGGTCCAGTCTATTGCTGCTGAATAAAAATCGATAGGTAATTTATTTCATGTGACTTGAAAATAAAATTTGTATTTTTTGAAACCCGCGCCTTCACGTCAAATGTTTATCTCTTTTGAATCATTTCCTGTTCTAAAAATTTTCGGCGCATATTTTAAATTTTACGTTTTTGCTACAGCAGCGCCATCTTAAGTCTCCATTTTTTATGACCATTTTTAATGCACGAAGACATTTTTCCTTACCTCTACACTCCATATATTGAGCCCCCGGAAGATATTTAGGTCTATTAAGGCCCCCACAGACGTTCAGGTTTTTTGTGCTTCTTAAGGCCAACTGAGAGTAAGCGCCAAAACTATGCCCCGGACAATAAAAATCAAGAGATAAAAATTGTTTAGAAATGAATGGAGACTTAAGAAGAAAATAATTTTTATTTTAAGTTAGTGGTGTACCTATTTCTTCTTCAAAAATATTCGATGTAAAACCCGTATGGATAGCACTGGTTGAAATAAATAAAATTGCTTGTGCAACAAAAAAACTATTTTGATGTAAGAAGACGTATATTAAGTTTCATAAAGATATCTGTAATAAAATCAGAGTTATTACAAAAAAAGTTTTTTTTCTAGAAAATTTTACCACCCTGTATCTCAGAAATTAATATGTTTAGGATATACATTCATATAAAGCTTTTCTCTTAGAACAGGTCCAAGAATCGCCCCCCTAAATATTAGCATGTCATTAAGGAACACCCTGGATGTTTTAGACATATTTATGCAATTAAATGTTTCGTTATATTTCGTACATTATAAAAATTATGCAGATCATACTGTGAACAGTTCTGACTTATAACGAAACCCATCGGCAAGTAACGGGGATGTCAATGTTAGTCCGGAACTAATGTGAACTAAAGACTTAGTTCAAGGAACTATTCCTCTGGAGGAAATACAACTGTGGAACTAGTTCCTCCCAAGGAACTCGAATTCCCATCTCTATTCTCTCTTATAATGCCATAAACTGTCATTGTTCATTATAGAAATCTAGAATATTATAATTCAAAACATTTTACCCTTTTAACATAACATTACGTAGCGTACACGAAATTAGTTAATACATATTTTTTTCGGAAACTCTATTTTATCGATACCAGCTTTCAAACCATCAACAGTTAGCATCGGTACTCTATGACAGTGGCGCTTCGGGCGGCCGCGCGGCCCCCAACACTGGCCCCGGCCGCGCCGCCGTCCCTCACCACCTGGTGCGTGACGATGGCGGCGCCGCCGGTACCATTTTTGGCGCGACCCGCGAGCATCGTGCAGTGCTACACTCTAGTGGGCGGTTGGAGAACCATGGCAGCCAGACGTACCTTCATGGCGTCGGGATGGCCGGGGCCGGCGGCGTTGCTCAGGCCGCCCCTCGGTCCCGTAGTGTAGATGGCGTCGGCGGGTATGCCGCCCGGCCCCAAGTTGGTGTGCGTTTGGTTGTTGGTGAGGTGGTGGGCGGTCTTTTCGATGTCGACTTTTTGCCTGGAAAATAAATCGCAATTAGAAGTGTATTATGTTACAGTATGTGCAGTGTTTTCCAAATTTATATTAAAGGCGGCTCCTTTTTGTACAGGGTGAGCGGAACTCGATGTCTCACCTTTATTATGAGAAAACGAAAAATAATAAAAAAATCTGAAAAGAGGATTTTAAATGGGACTAAATAAAGTGTATTTTAAGCCAAATTTGCATATTTCTCCATATTTGGAAATTGATATAATGACGTCATCGATTTTTATTTTCCCAGAAACATACCTATAGTTTGGCATATTTAAATAGAGCTGATTTTTCTGAACAAATTTTATAAACAACAGAATTTGCTATCTCATTCCATTAAAAAATTACAAGCAAATTTGTAAAAAAAATAATATTTTAAAATTCGCAATCATCATGATTTAAACAAGTAGCCTTTGAATAAAATAGAAAAGTCGCATCTATCAATTAAACTAATTATTAACAAGCAGTCAAACAATTTTTGTCATTTGCCTTGTAAAAATGTTCACGCACAATGAAAAGGTTGACATGTTATTAGTTTATGGCGAATCTCAGAAGAATCCTAGAAGAGCAGTTCAATTATACGCACGAAGATATCCGGAACGTGTTATTCCAAGCTTAAAAATGTTTGCACGATTGGAATGCAATTTACGTGCAAATAATGAGGAATTTTCTTCTCGGAAGAGAAAACAAATTGTTAAAAGGGTCAATTCTGACAATACCGTTGCGACCATTCTGCAGTATTTTGAAGACCATCCAAGGAACTCGATTCGTAAAGCCTGTCGAGAGTTGAATTTGAAATACAGTTCTCTACGAAACATTTTAAAAGAAAACGGTTATCATGATTATAAACTTCACAACTTAGAACACTTGTCAGACGAATATCAACACCGAAGAATTAATTATATTGCCCAAATGCTCGTAAAATTAGATAATGACAATCGGTTGCTTGAACATGTGTAGTGGACGGATGAAAGTCGTTTTTGTCAGTAATGGTAAGCCCAATAAAAAAATGAACATTTTTGGACTACTGAAAATCCACATTTTGTCAACCCGATGATAATCAAGAACATTTCGGAATTAACGTTTGGTGTGGTATTACTAATGGGTGTTTGATTGGTCCATATTTTTACGAGGGAAATTAAAACAGACAGCGATATTTACAATTTCTTCAAGAACAACTTCCTGTGCTTCTCGAAAATGTGTCATTGTAGTTGCGAGCAAACATGTGTTTCCCAGCATGACGGAACGCCACCGCATAAATCAAAAATTGTCCAACAATATTTAAATGAAACTTATGGAGAAAATTGGATAGGTATAAATGGACCGAGGTAGTGGGCTCCTAAATCTCCGGACTTAACCCCACTAGACTTCTTCTTGTGGGGAACTCTAAAAAATAAAGTTTACAAACACCATCTATTAATTTGGAACATTTAAAAGAAAAAATTAGAAATGCCTGCGACGAATTATCTAGAGAAATGCTTCTTAAGGCTTCAGTGAGAGAAGTAAGGCGTAGATTGGATAAGTGTTTAGAAGTAGGAGGTGGGCATATTGAAAATTTGATGTAGTGATTGCCTGTATAATACGTTGTTTCTATTGTAATAGTTATAATATATTTTGTTTTATGGCAGTTGTGTTTTGTAAGGTAAAATTACTAAATAGCACAAATTAAAAATGCTTAATTATTGACAGATGCGACTTTTCTATTTTTTCCAAATAGTCTACAAGTCTACTTGTTTAAATCGTGATTGCGAATTTTAAAATATTATTTTTTTTACAAATTTGCTTGTAATCTTTTAACGGAATGAGATAGCAAATTCTGTTGTTTATAAAATATGTTCAGAAAAATCAGCTCTGTTTAAATATGCCAAAATATAGGTATGTTTCTGGGAAAATAAAAATCGATGACGTCATTATATCAATTTCCAAATATGGATAAATATGCAAAATTGGCTTAAAATACACTTTATTTAGTCCCATTTGGTATGCCAGTGGGATGCGGTTGCCGTATTGTGGAAATTTTCATACTTGAATTTCTCAAGATGTTATGATGATTGATATAAAAAAGGGATCTTTAGTTTGCCCGTTGAGAACTCTTGTGAAAAACTCAAGCTTTCTTGTGAAAAAATTAGAAAAAAATGGTTTCATCGTTTTTCATCGTTCTCTTATCAAAAATCAAAAAATCTCAAAAATCTGAAAAGAGGTGAAAAAAACTCTTTTCAGATTTTTTTTCATTATTTTTCGTTTTCTCATAATAGAGATGAGCCATGTTCCGCTCACCTTGTACCAAAAAAAAATCACGACACCCTATTTTAGTAATTTGCAAGGTTGCGACATTAATATATGACGAGCTCTCGGGAAAACGATGAAACCATTTTTTTCTAATTTTTTCACAAGAAAGCTTGAGTTTTTCACAAGAGTTCTCAATGGGCAAACTAAAGATCCCTTTTTTATATCAATCATCATAACATCTTGAGAAATTCAAGTATGAAAATTTCCACAATATCGTAACCGCATACCACTAGAGTCATCAGCGGACAATCCCTTCTCGGGTGAATGCCTTTTTCTAGTATATAAGAAAAGTAGTTTTAGGATTTGTATTCGTTCATAGTCAATAATGGTTATTTGGTTGAAACTTTTGAAAATTAACCCTTTATAGGTTGATGGTCGCTAGATCGACCACTTTAATGCAACCAACAAATCAGTCACGTCGAAGTGTATTATCGCCCAGTTGTTTGTTATGCTTATTTCTATGCGCGGTTTGGCCATTTAATCAACCATATATATACGTTGGACGAATTGGCGCGAATAGCTAACGTAAGCGGTTGAATATTCGACCAGTGAACATTGGTAACATTGAGTTCGTTGTGTGGCATATAGGTAATAAAGGTAGTAAAGAGGCAACAAAGCAATGAGATTTTTGAATGTCCGGAGTGCGGTAGGCAGATAACATCACGTATCGGGCTTTTCAGTCACAGAAAAGCTCATGAAAGAAAACGCCTTGCGTGACCATCTTTTGATGCGTGTCGAATACTCGTCAGCGAGTAATGGCAGTATATACAGGGTGGTCCGAACTGTATTCCGGAAACTTCGGCAGCATATTCTGCAGATAAAAATAAGCAAAAAAGTTCGTATAAATGTATGTCCTAAAATGCTTCGTTTTAGAGATACAGGGTGTAGAAGTTTCATTTTTATTTCGATTTTTTCTAAATAATTTCTGAAAAAACGTCAATATTTCCATGAAAATGGTGTCTAGGAGTTTTTTGATATGAGAAATTTGATTTGGAATTAATATGACTCCTACTGGTAGAGGGCGCTACCTACATGTGTTTTAACTGTTTTGAAGCTCAATAACTTTTTGTCCGTACCTGTAGAAAACTACCGAAGGAAAAAATATACATCTCTTTGACTTTCTACGTAAAAAATATCTCTTTGTAAAAATCGCTACGAGTAACCGTTCTCAAGATATTTAGAATGGAAATTGTCGATACATGTCATTATTGACGAAAAATAAACACGCTGATAGTTGAAGAATTTTGGTTTTTCGGGTTATTAGGCCGTCGTCGGTTAGAATTGCTTCCTAACGTTTCGCTAGCACTAGCTAGCATTTAATTTTTATCTGAAAAAATAAGAAAGTTATAGGGGTGAGCCACTTTTGAGACGCACCCGCTATAAGATGTAAAAAATAGTGTACCAAAAAGTGAAAGATACTATAGATAAAAATAAATTAAATATTTCCTATTAACATATGCCCCAAAATGAATTCCTGACTTTCGGTTGTTTCCTCTCGTCTCGTTCAATTTCGTTTTGTCTCGAGCTATTTCCACGACGACGTGTCGGTATATATACCCGAGACAAAGAACTTTTTTTTTTCATTAATCCCAGTGAAATAAGTAAACTTAGACGTTTCTAAAATATTTGTTGTTACGGTGATAATTCGTTAATTACATCTCGTTTTATTTTGATATATGTTCCACAAGATCATCTAGACTGATGCCTGATTAGTCTAGTGTGAGCAGTCGGAGCAAACACACCTCTCAAGATGCTAGCCACTCGTGCTAGCGAAACGTTAGGAAGCAATTCTAACCGACGACGGCCTAATAACCCGAAAAACCAAAATTCTTCAAACGATGGCCGCGAAAGCCTAAACTACTACGCTGATAGTTATTTCACTGAAATAATAAATTTGAGAAATTTTTATTTTTTTTAAATTGATCATAAATTTTTCTGCAAAAAAATGTTGATAAAACAGTTTCTGTTGAACTTATCACACAAAAGCTTTCAAATTTATGATCTCAGTCTAATAGAATTTAGAATTTAGAATGAGTGGGAGGGGGTTAATCCCTTCGACCTTACAGATCCATTGTGTCCCCCTTTCTTGAATCATAACTCATCATACAGTCCCAGGGCTTTGACAAAAGCCAGTATCTGGGACGGTTTTATAGAGGGTAGTTCTCCATCTCCAATATCAGTCGTACCAAAATTCATGGCACGAATGGTTGTCGTCTCGGCGCACTCAGTGATGAGGTGTACTGGTGAGGTGTACTCAGTCTAATAACTATTTAGTCAATTTAATGTATGTCAATGATGAGAGGTATTGATAATTTCGATTCCAAATATCTCGAAAACCAATACCCGTAGCGGTTTTTACCAAGAGACATTTTTTACGTAAAAAACGTCGTAAATGTATATTTTTTTACTCAGTAGTTTTATACAGGTACGGACAAAAAGTAATAACTCTTCAAAACATTATAAAAATATGTAGGTGGCGTCCTCTACTAGTAGGAGTCATATTGACATCAAAATCAAATTTCTCATGTCAAAAAACTCCCAGACACCAATTTTCATCCAAATATTGACGTTACTGCAGAAATTATTTGGAAAAAAATGAAATAAAAATGAAATTTCTACACCCTGAATCTCCGAAACTAAGCATTTTAGTACATACATTTATACGAACTTTTTTACTTATTTTTATCTGCAGAATATGC